TCCAAGGACCCCGTCCTCATTCCTCCCTCCTCACCTTGTCTGCCCAACGCCATCCACAGATGATGCGCTGCCATTAGTAAATCACACCTCATAAATCTTCGCTAGACCTTTCCTGCCCACCTTTCCACTATCTCAGCAGATAAGTAGCTCTCAGTTCAACTCAGCATGGTAAAAGACAAAGTTCTCCCTATCTTTAACTTCTTTGTTTAAAAGATTTCCTGTTTGATACGCACGCATCTGGTTCCCCCAGTTGTCTTCTTTCATTATGCTTTTCCAGTTATCTTCACTGTGATTCTACATATGTTATCTAAACTAAGACCAGTATCTTTTCCTGTAAAAGTTTATTTGGGTACAAAATCTACCATTTTTGGCCTTGACATTTATTATAACCAGCGGGTAATACATAATAAAACCAATCCATCTGAAATCCGGCTGCAGCTGGCTTCACAAAGGTTTCCTCCCTTTTTGCAGTCCCGCAGAAATTCAGAGACCCTGAAGCTTGCTGAAAATACCAAACAAAAACAATATTTAGGGTTTGTTTTTTTTTTTAAATATAGTTCACAATACTATTCTATTTCTCAAATTATGAAAGACTTCATAATATTTCCTTTGACTTTTGGATCATGCTTATCATCATTATTTGACTAATTTCTAAATTTATTATTTTAGTTCTAGGCATTTGGATTTCTTACACTGCCTAGGAATGAGGGTCAGTCTAGGTTAACTGCTAGAACATTGACATTCACTCTGTTTATATAATTGATTTTCTCTGTTCTTCCTGATAATTAGAAAGTCGGCAAATAAGAAAATATTTCCTTTTAAATGAGAAACTGACTATATTTACCTGTCTTCAACTGTCTTATTGGAGGGGTAGAATACCTTGAATGAAAATCCACTTCTTGGAAATGAACCCTGTAAAGAAAAAGGTATATACCACACCTGTGTAAGTAAAATACCGTACAAATAGTAAGAGACCCACTTGAGCATAACTGCACTCCCTCCTTATCTTTGGTAAAGCGTAAGGAAATCTTACGGGATTTATGCAAAGACAGTCGGTGTTGGTGACGGTGAACGGGTCGTATTTATCTGCAACGACGAGCATATCTGGCAGAGGATATACCCTCAGGGCGTAGTCGTAGGCCCAGTACACAGGGCTGACGTACAACGGAAGTGGCGTCAGATGTCCTTGTGACAATATAGTCTTTACAAACTGCAAGATAAACATAAAGAGTTAGTTTGAGCCATTTTCTACAACTCAAACTCATTCCTGGAGCTGCTACTGCTGTTAATAAAGAAGCTTTGAACCTGGCAATGTTCTTTGTGTACCTCGCTCCCTCTGATTATTAACGATTTCTAGAGTCAAGCAGTAACTCCCCTACGCAGTCAGCTGCTGGCTTGTTTATTGTGGCGTTTGGGGGGTTTTAACACACAAAGTCCCTTCTAAAATGTTACTAGCCAACATTTGAAGGTGTCAAAACTATTTCATCCACCAGACTCTCCAACAAACCGCAGAATCCGCTTACCTGTTCCTCCAACCCAGGAATACCAACGCTGCCCTAACTTTTATTTTGTGAGGTGTTTCCCCTCGGGCCTTTCCTCGCAGTACCCAATGACCACAAAACACCCACACGTATACACAGTCTTTTCCTCGAACTGGGGAAATCATTTGATTCCCAAATGATTTTGATTCCCTTGGCTCTTCTGGGCGTTGCCCTGCTCCGGATGCCAGCTTGCTCCCTTTCATTTGCTTTTTTCATTTGGCAAACTCCAGCCAGGGTGTTTTGGTTCCTGAAACTCCTCAAGCCCCTTGAAAGTTTTTATTATCTCTCATCAATCACGTAGCTGCCATTAGGCTCCATTTTTCCCCAAAGGGCCAAAATCACTGCAGCGACTTGGTGGAATGGTCTGCTGTTGACAGAAAATGATGTAGCAAGCGTAGGCCCAGCTATTCCACTAATACTGCACGAGGCGCAAAGTCACGATTAATTCCGTCTAATGTTAGTAACAAAGTTTCCCTCTCTCATTCATCTTTTTACACTGATGGCTGAATTAAAAAACTCATGAGAGGCAGAAAAGGCAGAGCAAAGCTGAAGTATGCAAAAGCAACCTAATACTCTTATCTGCAGAAAGTGTTGCAGTACATAATTCTGCATTTCCTTCACGATTCCTTCCTTTCCAAGCATGAGAAAGCCGTGCGTGAGCACAGGGAAGTGACGGCTTGCAGCATACACATCCACGTCTGCGAACCGCGCATCGGTGTCCACACTGAATTCCTTACGTTCACAAAGAAACAGTTCTGTCACGATGGAGCGAAGGAAGAGAGGTAAAAGAAGTTCCTGAGTCAAACAAACAAACAAACCCCTATAAAATAAATAGAAACAGGCTCTGTCCATCACTGCAATGAGCCAGCACTGCCTGGATTGTTCTCATTCAGTTATATCAGCAAATCCCATCAAGTCCTGCTGTGCGTTCATTAACTAGGATCATAACTCGGAGTGCCGTGGCGACGTATCAAAAGCAGGATTAAGGCTTCAAATCGGAAGGCAGAAAACGCAGGTGGCCTTTTAGAAAAGTGACATGCTGCTTTACTGCAAATGTCACTGGTTAATTGATCAAACCTTAAAAAAAAAAAGGCAATTTGTATTAAACTTTGCCTTTAGGAATCAATGGTTCTTGGTATGACATTCATTGCTGGTGCACATAGACCAAGAGTCAGCTGCTGTGAAGTTCTGCCATCAGGGGTGCCTGCAGTGGGACGGAGTGACTCCATGCCATCAGTCAGCATCATGGTTCCAGTTATTTTACTGTCAAGATGGAATTTAGGGAGGAATAACCCCAAGCACCAGTACAGGTTAGGGGCTGACCTGCTGGGAAGCAGCGCTGCGGAGAAGGACCCGGGAGTCCTGGTGGACAACAAGCTCTCCATGACCAGCAGTGTGCCCTCGTGGCCAAGAAGGCCAATGGTGTCCTGGGGTGCATGGAGAAGAGCATGGCCAGCAGGCTGAGGGAGGTTCTCCTCCCCCTCTGCTCTGCCCTGGTGAGGCCACATCTGGAGTTCTGTGTCCAGTGCTGGGCTCCCCAGTTCCAGACAAACAGGGAACTACTGGAGAGAGTCCAGCGGAGGGCTGTGAGGATGATGAGGGGACTGGAGCATCTCTGGTATGAGGAAAGGCTGAGAGAGCTGGGGCTGGTTAGCCTGGAGAAGACTGAGAGGGGATCTGATCAATACTTACAGATATCTAAAGGGTGGGTGTCTAGAGGAAGGGGCCAGACTCTTCTCAATGGTGCCCAGTGACAGGACAAGGGGCAACGGGCACAAACTGGAACATGGGAAGTTCCATCTCAGGATGAGGAAAAACTCCTTCACTTTGAGGTGACCGAGCACTGGGCCAGGCTGCCCAGAGAGGTTGTGGAGTCTCCTCCTCTGGAGAGATTCAAAACCCGCCTGGACGCCATCCTGTGCAACCTGCTCTGGGTGATCCTGCCCTAGCAGGGGGGTTGGACTAGATGATCTCCAGAGGTCCCTTCCAACCCCTGTCAGTCTGGGATTCTGTGAAATGAAGGTAGTAATACTAGGTGTATAGATCCTTCTTGTAATCCCTCTTGGTTACTCTTGCAACGTGTTGTGAGAACGCAGATCAGAGCACCCTGATTAAAAACCTGCTGGTTAAAAAAGCAGCCAAGGAGATCTCAGTCAGAAGCGCCGAACAACTCACTCACATGGTTGGGAATATCCATGTTGCTGCTAGGAAAGCGGACACAGTTTCTGCACATCTTGTTTACCAAATCTTCACGAAAGATAATTATTTCTTGAGTGCAATATTGAACCCTAAATGGAAAACATTAACGAAATCAAATAAATTGAGATGAAACTAAAAGATAGGGAGCTGTACTATAAAGTTGTTCTCCCTCTAATATAGTAAAATGAAAAAGTACATTGCAGTTAAAATAATACTTTCCCATCTTCCCTTCATTCTGTCCAGATTCAGAAAAAACACGATGCTTTTGATACTATCAAACTTTTAGCACTACTTCCTTTCATCACTAACTTATCTATGTATGAATGTATTTAAAACTAGCTACAATTAATACAAGCAAGAAATTCTAATAATTTGAAAAAATTAAGACTTTTTTTTCCAGAATTTGTAATTTTTGAAAATTACATCTGCACATAAATTAGTCATTTGGTTAAAAAAACACCAACATTAAAAACAGCAGTAAGTTACACTGTTACCTGCAAGGATTTGTGGTGAAAACTGAAAATGGCACCAGCTGTCTGAATTCCTCAGTAATATTTTCAGCCAGAGGAGGTCTAAAATAAACAGCAACAGATGTATCAACTAAGACTCTTACCTTCCTTCACTATTTAACTCAAAATTCCAAAATTTGAAAAAGTAAAGGAAACTGACCTTGGTAAAATAGAACCAGGACCAGGGTCTTCAGGGCCAGGAACAAACACAAATCGACTACTGTAAAAAGTTCAACATATCACTTTTATAGAAAATGATCCCAGAAGCATCTAAACATCGGTTATATCCTGCTGTCACTCCACAGATGCATGCAAATAACCTCTTCTGGGGCAGAGACGACAGCTCTTCCCGGCCTTAAGAACCACGTAAATCACAGTTAAGGCGTAAGATACGTATCCACTCCTCACTACAGTGGAAGGAACCTTAAAAACTGTTCACCGTGCACGGGGGCCAACTGTGGGAAGTACGACAGAGCAGGTTGTGGTGGTAATGGGCTCCACCATCCCATACAGGGACCCCAGGTAACCCAGCAGCGGCACACCAAGAGAGCCCCACCGGGACACGGGACGGAGGATCAGTGCCCAGAGCTTGCTTACCTCTCACACAGAGGTCAAGAGCTGCAGGCTGTGGCCATTCTGGCTTTTGGGGCCCATTCTAGGAGCCGGCTCTACTTCAGGGCGACTGTTACAAATTCAAAGATCAGAGGCCAGGAAGGATAAGCCTGGCCATCTCCCTATTTTACTTTCCTTTGTATACTCAAATCTCTGTAGAATGGATTTAGTTCTCCAGGCCTGGAATGGGGCTCTCACGGATCAGGGACACAAGAAGAGAGAAATACAAGATTCCTTTGCAGGATTGCGTTGCTTTGGTTAGTTCTCAAACTAACTAGCTGTGGAGAACCATGTGCAAGAATGGAAAAGATAGAAATGAGATGTCTCCATGTAGGCAGTGCTCAGTGTTTCAGGTGACATTTTCTGTGGCTGGTACAGAAAGCCTGTAGGTGATTGCAGCAGTGGCAAGACTTCAACATCAGTTTATAATGCAGCGCTGCTTGGGCAGAACCCTGCTGATTTAAAGGGAACGCCCGGGCAAAAAGGGACTCACCCCAACAGCACTTTTGGGGAATCATGGGCCATGTTTAGTCCACGTGGAACATGTTCCAGGGAGAGGCAGTTTCACCTTTGCTCACTCAATAGTAGCTTACATGACCAAGCTGTTTTAGATAAAATCAAAACCTTACACTGCTCCCAGAACAAACCTACAGGCCTGTTACAAGCCCAGCTTGCTATCTGATCATAGCTGGCTCACAATCATGAGGAAACATTGCATCTGTTAGTTTCTTAAAGTAATTTAAGCAAAGGTTTCACAAAATAAAAAAATTTCCCTTTTCATAGCACTTTGCTGTGTACCTTTTGTGAATGCTGGGATATTCACATATCATATCTGCAAGAGCCTTCAAGGAACCTAGAGTCAGGAAAAAAAAAATATCTATGATACACCACCTAGTTAGACAACAAACATAGATTATATGAATCACTCCTACACTTCAGTACATTAAAAATGTGTCACTTACTTAGAAAATATGGGTTTCTTTTCTGCTCTCTTAATTTGTTTTGTCGTCATTATTTTAATTTAATGTACATGTCCGACTGTCTACAAAGACTTCCCTACCTTTCAGTGACTGAATTTGATTTTTTCCATATGGTGCAGATGAAAAATTTCCACAAAAGAAAAAGCAGGTTGGAGGTGCAGAGGAATAACCTGGGAAAAGAGAGTATCTGTGAGTATAACATCCATTCACTTCAGTATCTTTCAGCATTCAGCCTGTAGTCCATTTCCTGAAAGGCAGAAACTGTGTCCTGGTTTCAGTAGGGATAGAGTTCATTTTCTTCCTAGCAGCTAGTTAGTGCTGTGGTTTGGATTTAGGATGAGAATAATGTTGATAACACACTAATATTATAGTTGTTGCCAAGCAGTCCAGGACTTTTCAGCTTCTTACACTGCCCTGTCAACAAGAAGCTAGGAGGGGACACGGCCAGGACAGCTGACCCAACTGCCCAAAGGGATATTCCATACCATATGACATCACACTCAGTGTACAACTGAGGATTAGCCGGGAGGTGGGGCGGCTCAGGAACTAGCTGAGCATCAGCTTCAGGTGGTGAGAAACTGCCATGCATCACTTGTTTTGTGTATTCTTTTATCATTATTATTATTCTCTTCCTTTTCTGTCCTACTAAACTATCTTTATCTCAAGCCACAAGTTTTACCTTTTTCTTTTCGATTTTCTCCCCCACCCCACTGGCAGGGGGTTATTGAGCAAAAGGCTGCATGGTGGTTTTAGCTGCCTGCCGGGTTAAACCACAACAAACTGAAACAGCACTTCAAGCTCTGCTGCTATTAATACACCTGAACTATTTTCTTGATACAGGCTTTTGTAAGCTTAAAAAGGATGATGGCAATGTACAAATGTCACCTCAAGGGAGCCCTCTGTTATTTACAGACCCAGTTCCAACAATATTTTTTGTGTGTATCCAACTAACTACTCACCCAGTCATATAATTACACAAAGTACAATTATAATAAATAATACAATTTAAAAATGCATTTTTTTCTCCTTAAAGAGAAAAATAGTGAGTAGGTAGCAATGGATTACTATTAACCTCCATGCATCATTCCAATTCAAGGGCTCTACCAACATTTAATTCGCTCTTTGGCATTATAAAGCAACAGTAATTGGAATTGCCTGAGCATTTTAAGAAGGTGATGAATCCTCACAATATCACTAATCACCCAGAAACATATGCTTTATAGCAAAGAGTGAAAAAAGAAACCTGATTCCTATCCCTAAAAGAAAAGTAAAACCATCTACTCAGGCATTCATCTCACACTCCCCATTACTCTCCATTTTCCTAACACGCAGTACCAGACTTGGATTTACTTCGCTATTTTTCAATCCAGTTGTTAAATAGGACAGAATTGTTTATACCAGAGAAATGGCTCATCAATGTTTTTTTTTCTTGCTATTCCACTCAGCTATTATTTTTAGTTTATAATTATGAAGCTTATTATTTGCCCATTAAAAAAGGTCTCAAAATAGTAAATGCAATGTAAGCATCTTTGCCAGTTGAGTTCAGTTTATTAACTGCACTGCCCAAAGTCCCTTTATTACTTCAGCATATGCAATCAAGGTCAAGTTCAGTTTGCTTTAAGGATCTTGCCAACTTTGATCAAGATAGTGAACTGGTTTCGTAACTTCTGGACGAGTGTGGTAATTTGCATCCAATTTTCTTTAGGTGAGTAACAGCTTCCCACCCTTCATTTTATGTTGCTTATTTTTAAAGCAGCCACCCTCTCGCACTTCCATTCCACCTAAGACAGACAGGACGAGCTGTTCCAAAACTGCTCTGGAATACAAAGAAGCAATTCACAGATCTCGCAGATGCTTGCTATCCAAATGTTGTCAACATTGCTAATGTAATGATGCATGGAAGAAACAGTTCATATTTTAAGAGTAACTGACATTTTTTCATTGCTAGAACCAGGAAGCATTCGAGGGACTGCTAATCTCCAATGAAGTAAGATGTTTTCTTTAAACTATGCCTAGGAAGAACTTTCACAAGCAAGGGAAACGTTCTTGTCACAGCACATAAGCCATTGTCCAAAACAATATTAGTACTGAGTGATTTATGAAAAGGAAGTGTCAGCTTGCAAAAATATAATACAATCCAGTTTTTAACACTGTTAGAGAAAGACCCAAAAAGAAATTTAATAGCAACCATGAAATACAAATAGCTGTCACTAAACTGAAAATGAGACTTCACTGGCTTTGGGCTTGGGTTCAGCGGGATCCTACCAAAAAAAGGCAACAGTTGGGCTTAATCTAGCTTTCTCAAAATGGAAGTTCATAAAAAACGCACAATACAGTAATACAGGACTCTTGAAAACTGTTGCCTGACTTTTTCATTTAAAAGTGCACGTTTGAAAAAAAAAAAAGGCAGACAAGCCACTGTCTCGCTGCCAGTCGTACACTGTCCAGCTTCCCCTGCCTGGACAGGGATGCTCATGTGAGCGACCACGATGAAGAGTTCACAAAGCTAAACCAGCATAAAACTAATTCTCCAACAAAGGCCATTAGTTTTCTGCTGGGGCATTCCCTGAATTAGCTCACTGTGGGTACAGACTTCCCAGCCCATGCCAAGGAGGGGGCACAGCCACAGCTGGGGACCGAGGACCAGCCAGCCATCAGACTGCCTTGCTGCACTCATCACCTCCACCCATCAGCGCTGCTAAGGACTGAGGAAAATGGTAAAAGTTCTCTAAAACAAGGCTCAGAATCAAAGCAGTTCTCACCTACCCGAAAACATTGTGTGAAGCTTTTCCAGTACTTCTGCTTGATCCAGCCATACATCAGAAACAAACACAAACATGGCATCTTCATTTTCATCCTCCAGCTGCTTTAATTTTGCAGAAGCCTTTACTGAAGCTGAAGAAGGCCCTCCAAAGAAGTTTACATTCCCATAGAAGGCTCTACATCATTCAAATATTCAAGTTAGTTCTGCTTTCTTCCCAAATCGTTAGTAGTTTTGATTATGACTCACGTAAGCCATTTTAATTATTATGATGATGATAGGTAGCTCAGATGGTATCAATAATCATCTAGCACTTCATGGAGAAACCAAGGAAGATAAATGGCAGTCACCTAGATACAGAGCAGGGGCGCTGCCCTGCCGTAATTTAACAGATCATCTCAGGGTAATATTTATCCTCGGTTCTCTCCGCATCCATTCCTTGAGCAACAAGGACTTTCTTATTCCCGTGTAATAGTTATCTACTTTTGCAATTGAGAAGGGCTTAGATCTCCATTGTTACTAACATGCAGAACCCAATGGCCTTTGGAAGGGTATTTCTGCTACACTTTAGGATTTAGTACTGGTCCAAGTAGACCAGCAAGTCCCAGAATTGCTTCCTTAAAATTGTATTTATTTTGAAGCATTTGGGGAGGGGGAAGAATAGCATACTTTAATGTCACAGAAATTATAAAATAATAATGCGCTTACTTAGAAACCCGTAACAAAATATGGAGTGAGGCTGCCGAAAGTCAGTTTTATACCTAGTGGTAGCAGAAGGTTCAGTAGGCGGAAATCCAAAAGCGTTCACATGAAAAACTTCATCTTCATACCAACCTAAGAGGATTTTTGAACAACAGAATAACCTTTAGTTTTTCTAACAACATCATGTCCTAGACATTAGTCAGAGAGTTGGCAGCTGTGCCGCACAGCTAGTCCCAGCCTCCATCAATCCCCCTCTTGTGATAGCACCAGGTCCTGCGCTGTTTAGTGGTGAACCAGACCAGGGAACTATCTGGCTGAAAAACAGGCTGAGCAAGAAAACAACTATTTTTTCACCCCAGCCACTTCCTTGAATGCACAGCCACATAAAGAACCTTCTCAACTCAACTGAGTAAGAATGTAGGGGAACAGGAATCATTTTTGCTGGCCCTGCCCCGGAAGAGTCTCCATCAAACTGCACCCTTCCTTGAGAACTGTCCCACCTGCTAGAGGAACAGAAGTAACAGGGTGATACTTGTCCCCACTACCATTTGTGCGTCTAACTTGTATTGACTTCATAAATTTTAAACATAAAATGCATTATTAGAAAATAGACTGGGATTATAGATATTGCAGAGAGTAATATTCTACAAACAGAAATGTCCATTATTTTGCTAAAACAAGGCTCCAAAACTGCAAGGCCTTACAGCATCTTAATGAGAAGATTCATTAAAGCCTCTGAAGGCTTTGCCAACAGAAAGCAGCATTTTCAGATTGTTAAATCAAACTGTTTGGTCATCCTAGTCTCTCTTCCTAATCTAGTCAGGTCTCCTCCATGCATATTGGAGCCAGGCTAACCAAGGCCCATCCTCAAAGGTGCTACAGATGCTCACATTCCACCGACATCACTGAAAACAACAAATTTCGTAGTGCTCTGTTCTCTGCCCACAGACCCCACAACGCAACAGGAAAGGCTTACAGCTTAAAGTCTCAGCCACAAACTCAGCTCATGGTCAAGCCTCATCAATGTGAGACTTGTCTGTTCAGCCACACCTGGCAGACACGTAACTGCAGCAACCATTAACAGAACAACTTATTACAAGCTAAGAAAAATAGTTTGCTTTACCTTCTGCCAAAACAAAGCATGATTCAGTATATAAACCACTGTGGAACTGGTGCAGAAAGGTTAAGAAATATATTTTCCTTAGATCAGGACTCTTAAACTAGTTCTTTAGCCAAAGTTTGCTTTCCAGCTGGTGTAACACAGTTGGACACTACTGAGAGTTGCTTTACAAGCCAGGCAATCCGCTGGTAGCTGAGCAGGTAAGCTCACGAACAGCCTGCAAACGGGAACACAACACGCTCTGCTTCCACTAGGAGGAATACTAACCTTGTCCTAAGAGTCTCTGTGAAAGGTCACTGAGCTGCAGCAACCAAGGAATTTGAAAAGAAGGAAAAAGACAGAGCTGCAATTCTCAATACATAATTTTTAGCAGTCAGTATTGATGTATTATTCAATCTGAAATTGTCCAGGTCTGCGGGAAATTTCTTCAACTCTTACATCACAGGAAAAGGATATTGCTTTACTAAGGTCTAGCTGGACGACTCCTGTAGGGTCTTCTAGGAAAAATTTCCCCTAAAAAACAGGATTAATTAATAAAGCAAAATATACCCAAACACATAAATGCTTCAATCAGAAGCATCTATCAGTCAGCATTTAGAAATCATTTAGCCATTCTTAATATTCCAAGCTTAGAACACACTGGCAAAACTAAAAACCACGTAGGTTACAGTAAGTGTATCTTAGCACCTTCCCTTGGAGCTGCTGCAGTGTGGACTGCCGGTGCACCCACACACACAATCACAGTCCAATGCAACGGCAAGTCCAAACACAGTCACTGGGAGCTCCAGCATTTCAAGAAGGAGCACACCTAGAAAACGTAACTGGTTCTGGTTGCTGACATAAAGCATTACAAAATTCTGTAGTGAGAACAGAAAAACATTTTCCCTCACACACTAGCATCCACTGCTTGTGGAAAACTCTGTTCTTAGGGAATGGATCTTGCACCACTTTCTGCCACTGACTTATATGACAGGATAAAGTGGTGAGATATTCGAGCCTTCTCATTTTCTAATATATTGTAAAACTGAATGAATGGTTACTTAGATACTCCACAATAAAAAGCACCCTACCTCCTTGAGCTGAGTTATCATCCCAAGCACAATCACTTCTCCCACTTTAGCTGTATTGCCCAACAGAGTTTCTACTGTTTTAAGCTGTAATCAAAGGCAAAAAATCAAACAAAAATTAAATCAAACTCTTCATATATCTATCCTTAAGCAAGGAAGACAAAGCCCCACACAGTACATGTGTTTACATAAATACACAAATGAGTTGTGAGAGAATTCAGGCTCATTACAAAAATCAGGGACACATTTCTGAATGTCAAATGTAGCACAGTTGAGGAAAAGATTTCCAATAATGACTGCTAGCATAAAGAATTGCTTAGCAAGTAAATATTTATTGTGATTATTTTGCTTACAAGTGGATTAAAACCGAAAAGAACAAGTGGCAATTTCTGCTCTTGCCTAAGAATATCGATTGTAGTAATTGGATCCTCAGCGTGATCCAATCTGAACCACAGGGCCAGCCTGCACCCGTACAGTAACACTAACTACTTTAATCGAAGAACCTTAGATAGGTGACAGAGAACACTCCAGAGTAACGCAGGTGACATCGCATAGCATGCTGCCTGCGGTTTCTGCACAAACTTATTTTGGTCTGTCAAGCTGCAGTTAAGAAAGACAATTCTCCTACAACACCAGCATTAAGCAACGTGTTTGCCACTGCTGGGCAGGGAGGATGGGAAGCAGTCAAGGGAGAAAGACACCTATAAAGCCTGGATGGAGATGCAGGTTCAACTCAGCTCAGGTCAGCCACTTTTTTTCTATGTGATGGCATGCTCAGAACGGGGAGAAACAGGGAAGTTGAGCAAAGCAAAAGCTGTTATTTGGTACCCAGTGAAACACACATACACACACATTCATCTTTTTTTTAAAAATATGTAATGACTACATAATATAGAGCGAGCATTTGATATGAGAAAGCTGAGATGGGAACGGAACAGACTAAAGTTACGACCTTATTCAGCTGTAGGTTTGTGAATTTAGTGCTTATAAAAGAAAGAAGCGGGGAAAATATCTCCAAGCAGCAGGAAGCAAAGTGCAATAAGCTGAACAGCTAAAGCCCTTCCGCCTCAGGAAGCCACGTTTCTCTTGCACTTCATAGCTGCTTTTGAGTGGCTTGGTCATCATGCTGATCTGAGCCAAATAACTGCATTTTTGACACATAGGCTAAAAATGATTGAAAATAACTCCTTTCCATTGATTACCTATATGGGATGTAAAACTAAGATGTCACTGGAGAACTATTACTGCATTAAAATGTAACACAAGTGCAGTTCCCTTTGCAAGAGGAAAAACAAACACATTTTTTACCTGGAATTTGCTCCCACTGTCATCAGGATGAGCAACGACTGCTGAAGGAGTAAACAACTCATGTCTATGAGTCCTCTGCAGAAACCAAAATTGAAGTAATCCAGTTTAAAAATAAATAAGCACTGTCAAAAAGCCAGTTCATTACAACCACTATACAAAATACTTTGTAAAGTTCTCTTATTCTATTTTATCCAGCAATGTTTAATTTGTTGAACATAATCAGTTCTTTTGACAAGAATTTCCTTCTAAGAAATAGATGATCAATAATACTGGACAATAAAACTAAGCTCAAAAAGTAACAGCAAATCTGGAATGCTTTAAAAAGAAGTTTTTTCTGGCTACCTGGAAGGAAGGGGTGAGAGAGCAAGGGAAGGTAAATTGTATTAAATGCTAACTATGTGGAAAAGAGCAGGTTTCTCTTCAGGGCAGGGCCTATTATTAGAAGTAAGCGCTTTTTAAAAAAAAAAAAAAAAAACAGAACAAGCTACACTAACATATAAACTGCAGAGAGCATGAAGAAAATGCATTGTAGAAATTTTCACTTCTCTCACTGTTTCTCATGCAGTCTGAAAGCCTCCCCCTGGAACAAACCCATCGCTACCAGCCCGTGTAACACGGGCAGTAATTCGTATCAGCAGCCCTCCCCCACACAGTGACCTGAACCTTCACTTTTCTGGAGGTGGGAAAGGAGTACATACGACAACCAAACACAAAACCAGTACAACAGGGAGCCTATGCAAAACCATGGGGCAAAGAGGTGCAATGGCAGAACACAGTCCAGGAACAGGACGCTTCAGGATACGCCCTGTGGACACCTCCTGCTGCTGTTTTGCGTGAGTGTGCCGATTCCAGCAGGTTTCACTAATCCTGATCACTGTTTGTATCAACTAAAGCTTCTTCAGTTAATGGTTAACTGGCATCCCAGGGTAGAGGTTCCCAAATTGCAGTATACATGCTCCTAGTGGCAGCAAATCCCCTGGTAGACAGAGAGTTGTTGCTGCTCTGGGACATCTGACGCTGTGCACGCAACCACCACACAGGTCCAAAGGATGAGCAGTTCACACTGCTCAGCTGGGTGCCTCCCTGCTGCCTGCAGGGCAGCGCAAAGAGCCGTGCTCGCTGCCTTGCCTGTGTCCGGGCACTTCGCTCACACCTCAGGTCAGGGTCAGGTCTGCGCAGTACCTGCCAGCACCGAGCAGGATTCGTGCTGTGCATCAGCCCACTGCAATGGGCTAAACCAGAAGAGAATTTCAATGCTTCAAGGCCAGCCTGAATGAGACCTTCCCGGGGCTTCGGGTTTGCACGATCTCAACAAGCACTACGTACAACGACATGCTAATCAAACGTAGCACAGAGACAGGCTGCAGGAGGGAAAAGAGCAAGACGCATGCAAAAATACATAATTCCCTCTTATGACATCATACTAAAATGCAGAAACATGTGACTCCATCACGCTGTAGGGTGACAGTTGAGAAGACTGATGAATCTTAGTACAGACCCTGTTCTTATTCGGATTTTGTTTAAACTGTAGGTCACAAAAGTACCTCAACGCAAAGCACTGTTGTAAACGTAAGAATACAAAAACCAGCATTTTGTTTGCGCGTTTTGTTAAACAAAGCAAAACTTTTTCTGACCTGTTGTAAGATGGAGTAGCGTTCACGAAACAACTCCGCTTTATCTCTGGCAGTTCCAAATAAATTTGGTACAGGAAAGTTGGTCATTGACAGACTGCAAGAAGTTTAACACAATCAAGATTAAAAAAAAGTACATTCCACAAACAAAAATGACTTATTGATCTAAAACTTGTAGGAGGCTGCAAAAGCTATGACACTACTGCATAATTTATTTACTGAATGAGGAAGATCTCTGCTAGGCATCCTATGTTTCTGCATTTTGAAGGCTACATCCATTTAATTTCCCTCTAACTCACAAGCCTTGAAATTTATCGTTCCACCTGAATGGGACTCTGCAGAAGTCAGTTTTTAAAAAAAGCAGTTATGTCTTTCAAGTGGCCATGAACAAGAGTATTTTCTTCCTCTTGGTTAGCAAATTGTCTTCATGGAATTCTCTGCTTCCGATAGCCTGGAAAGCTAGAAAGCAGCACCGGAATTAAACTCCTACTGTAAACACACAAATTGCTTTTGCTGGACTGGCAGAATCATGGGCCAAAGCTAGAAAATGAGTTCAACATTACATGAAGGTCGCTGCAATCCCTCACAATGAACACCACTATCCATTCCTCAGCTAACGCCGCTTCCAGCTTTTTAAAAGCACGGCCTCTTTGTCTCAGCAGCTGTTAAAGGTAAATTCTTTAGCCAGTAAAACACTTACAACCAATTCCTCCAACTACTTCTTGCTTTCTCCAAACTGGAGGAGCACCAGTTGCTCCTAATTTTTCTTTTTTAGCATTTGTAGCTCTACTTAGAAATCCTCCAGGGCTTCAGGGAGTTGCAAGCTACAGTCTAAGAAATAAATACATGCAACAGACGGACCAAATTTATTTCAAAAAAAAATTAAACAGCCAAATGTGGGGGGAAAAATAAACCAAGCTACATGTCGTGACGTATGCCCCTAGCCTTACTGTCTCTTTTATTCACTAGATGGTATAAACATGGTTGGACATTTTACTATCTGATAAACATCAAAGTTTCAGAGCCAGTACCATAGGCAGCACAGAATACACTGCCACCAGAGATACGAGGCCCCATTTCAGCTTCGTTTTACTGGACTAGGAAAAACCCAATGGCCCGTTTATTTATAAGCCAGCATTCATCATAGAGTCCAACTGGCTCTTCAGAGACTAAGAAACAAAATTATCTCACTTTCTCACCCAAGCTTGAAATGAACAGACCCAAATGGGAAAGATTAGAAAACAGACTTTTAGCTATATAGAAATAGAGGATTTTTTCTTGAAACAAGAAGTGGTTGAAATGTAAAATATGCAAGACTTACGGTAGAAACTTCTTTCTTTCTGAATTATAAATATAACGTGGAATATCGAAGGCTCCAATGATGTTGAAAACATTTTCTCTGAAAGAAGAATACATTTACAACATTATCTGAAGTGGATCAAACAAATAAAACATGTTGAATAAAACGTATTTGTTTTGTTCACTGTCGCCCTGTGTTATCACCATTTCTCCTGCAACACTCTACCTACTGGATACTACTGCATCTTCTAATTCATAAAAGGAAACTCTTCAGAAGTTCATTTAGAAATGAGAGGGATACATCTCCTTCCCTTACCATCTTCTGCTACCTTTTCTGACAACAGAACAGCCTCGGCGTGGTTAATGTGAATGGGTTTAAACAATGGAGATGCACAACCCTTCAGATTACTAATCTAGTTGATACATCCCATTATATTCACTGGTTCAGCTCTCTCCTCTGATGCCTCTCATTTCTCTCTTACTGTAAGTGGATCAAATTAATCAGCGTAGATAAAATTATCCCATGAACTGCCAGTAAGTCTTCCAAGCACAGGACAACCATCAGGCACTGATGTCTTAGGCTTCAGAGTGCATTTCTTACAAAACTTTGCCTTCAAGCCTTCTGCAACATAATTCAAGAGAGCTGTCCAGGCTGGCTCTGTGATCTGTAGAGCTTTTCCCTTCAGGATTCTGTACTGAGAATCTGTGCGTACAGATTTCTCTTCACTTCTAGAGCAAAAAATACATGAAGTATATAAAGCAACCCAAAGAAAAGTCACACTCAAACCATCTGCATCATAACGGTTCCAGCAACAAGGAGAAAAGTAAAAACCAAATTTGCTTCCTATCGAGAAACTGTGGGATGACAGTATCTAATCGACGTGCCTAGCAAACCTTCATTTTCATGCTTTGCATTACAATGTCAATACACAACGTAAACACTAAAGGAAACACATTCATCACAATCACAAATAAAGTTCTCAGAAGCTCAAGTAATTGCTCTCTGCTTTGTTATCAGAGAGTGAAAATCAATCATGGTTTTCAACAAAAAGCCCTGCTATACAAAAAAGCAGAAACGAGCACCATGGAGGAAACTTTTCCAAGTGCTTTCAGAAAAGAAGTATCTTACAAAAGACACAAAAATAACCTTAGATAATTCTCAACTAGAGAAAAAGAAATAAAGACATGAACAGATGTAACAAGTTCTCTCTGCATTGTAACTATTGGTTTATTTTACTGGTTAATATTCAACCTGTATCACACGTAACACATAACCATACCATTTTAATTCCAGAATGTCAGCATCATATTTAAAATCCCCTGGAGGCCTATCCATGACAACAAATTTTCAAAGAAGGAACATTACTAACCTTCAAAGACAGTACCAGGAAGACAAAAGCACAAAGCAATTACTGCATGTGTAGCACTGCAGAAAATGCCTGACATTTATTTCCCAAGAAGAAATACGGGAATGCATACAACTCCCATAAACCTCAAATAAAAAAATAATGTCACCGTACATAGTTTCATCTGATGCCTGGCTACATTCTTGGACGGCTGCTTCCACTGTGGATTGTTCAATCATATTAGATGACACTGAAAAGAAGATTTCAAAGGATGAAAACTGCAGCCTATAGAAAGTAGTAACAAAGAAAGAAAGTAGGTCTCAAATATTTTAAAACAAGTGGTTTGGTCTTCTCAGAGGAATATATTACACAAATAAATATGTTTTTGGTAAGCTAATGACACACGCTGTTTTCTCTTTACAAATGGATCACTTAATATTCTTACCAGAAGGATACATCTCTAGCAAAAAAATAATCCACACACATGCTGTGCCCACCATTAATTCACTAAACATGGAGAACAAGACAATTATAGCTTATGCAAAGCTGCCAAATATACTACAAATGTGTTAGATCTGAGCTTTCACATTCTGGAGGTTAATTTTGTTCCAGAACGTTATCACACAGATTGCTGTCATAAATAAGTATTCAAACAGTTTAACACAATTTTGGAGATAGGCACATTGTTGTCTTCGTGGATTTAAACTGATAATTGAAATTAAAAATGTTTCTAAACACTAATGTTTTGCTGAATTTGAAGGGAGGACCAATCAAGGCAGATTCACAAAAGGACTCGGTCAGCATCTCCAAGCCTAACTGCTGGGCTCCTGGAACAGCAATCAGTACCTGAAAACCTGCCCTTGAGTTCCCTAGCTGGGGCATGGGACTTAAAATCACAATTCCTGTAAGACAGTGATGAATAGCAGACGAAAAAAGGGACTAAGGGAGCTAGCAGGAATCACAGGAGAGACCAGCACGCCTGAATTGCATCTTTACCCCTAACTTCAAGCAACCCACGGATGTTAGTTTGACAACATGGGAATTTATAGCACAAAATTACGCCCTGGACAAAGACTGGTGTTGGCAAGTGCACTGACTGCATGTACTACATTGGCCCTGGAGCTTCTCGTACCAATTCAAATTTGTTCAAAAATGTCGATGCAGTAATTTGTACCAGCGGGCTTTATGCTAGATCAGGACTAGTTCTTCAAACTGCTTTTACTCAGCTATGATCTGTTATCCCATGGCTAGAGTAAGAGTATAAAGCCATAAGTTCTGTAGACTGTGCTCTAGTAAAACTACAAAACAAGCATGTGCCCACCCTGGATTTAATTCTGTTTTAATTAGGATAGGCCAGGAAGGTTTCCTGACCTCATCTGAGGCCTAATATTTAGTTCAGAAACATTTATATGGATTTGAATCTCCCTGGCCAGAAACTGGAAGTGAGCCCAAATTTCCTAGTTCTCATGAGCTGTGATCAGTAAACACACATCAGGCATCAGTGCCACCTCCATCAGTCACATTCTTTAACCAAAGGTGCTACAACTCCTGTTCTGTGCTGTCAGACTGTGTCACGTATATTTTGAGCTACTACCCCATGCCTTTCATGGCGCCCAGCGGCAGGGACACTGGATCTGTGTACCTCAGGACACACTGTCCCAATTAAGCAGGAGGCAGTCCCCAGACAAAATACTGGATGCTGGAATTTCAGGCATGCTCAGAACCAAATGGGTCGTGAGAACTTTACCAGCAAAAGCTCAGCTCTTTGAGTGTCTCGTGTTTTATGGGATTTTCCACGAGTTTTCTGGATTGCGTTTTCGGACTTAGTAATTTATGGAATTTGATGTACTTTCACACACCAAGCAGGTACAGCGTCTCCAGCACTGCAGTGCCCCAACTGTTACTAGCACCTTCTGCCCAATGTTACTACCACGATGTCAGGTTGGCATAACGGAACGTCAGCATCTGCCTTGCTGCTTCAGAGAACATCCAGGTGATGATTAAACTCCATCTGCAGTAGGTTTGAGTTAATATGCTGGTCCATTATACTGGTGCACTTGTATCTCCCACTCTGCGTGGATGTGATGGCAGTGATCTCTGAAGGAAGGAATGCTACTGCTTCCTTCTTGCAGTCACAGCTAGGCTCCTCAGATTATAACTGCCAACAACCCCAACCCTTTTGTGGGCCTGGTTTATTTTAATATTTAAAATGATAGTTTCAGATGCAAAGATGTCCATACAAACTCAGCTACGTGCTTTTAGTAACTGGCACTGAAAAATTTCACTACTCTTGGAAAAGTCAGGAGGTACCAGGCTGCCAACTTTTTAAATGGCAAAATTATACTGCCTTTTGCTGACATTACAAACTTCAGTATTTAACAGAACAAAATGTCAACAAATACATTTATCTTCATCAACCCAGTAGGCTAGAATGATACCTTCGTGCATATGCTGCCAGTAACTCTGTCTTTGTCTAAATAACATAAGTGCAAGATAAACTTAGCAAGCTTAAGAAAAAGCAATTGTTTACTTACAAGGCTGTTTTTCAACGGCATCAATGACATTTTCAATTACATCGTCAAGTTCTACTTCATTGATGGACTGAAGTGCTTCGGTAAGATACTTTAGAGCATCCCTAATTCCAATGAAGAAAGTCAGGTCCAAAAGCAATTAATATTTAATACAGTTTATACAAACTATGCCAATGTTGGCAGATGTGCACATAATCACTAAACGGCTTGTGATTAAAAAAGTAGAAATAATTAGTACTGCATAATACTGCACTAATTTAAGTCAAAGAAAAAAAAAATCATCAGGATAGAAAACACTGAGGATAAGAAGCAGGTACAGAGAACCTCATCTTCATACAATCATAGAAAGATGCATGTCAGAAGGGACCTCTAAGGCCTCCTGGTCCAGTTTTCTGCTCCAATAGGCCAGCCACATTGCTCCAGCCACATCTCCAAGGATGGACAGATCTCACAACCTCTCTCAGTCCTGTCCTGGTGCTTAACTACTCTCCTTGTAAACAACTTTTTCATAGGATTATAGAAAAGTCCACATTAGAAGGGACCTCTGGAGACCATCTGGTCCAACCTTCTACTGAAAGCAGGGACTTATACTATGCCATCCAGCGCCCCGTCAAGCCAAGTCTTGAGTATTTCCAGTGAAGAAGATTCCACCACTTCTCTAGTCAACCTACTCCAAACTTTAATCGTACTGACAACACAGATTTTATTTTAAGCTTGTGCCCATTGCCTCTTGCCCTGTCACTGTGCATCCTTGAGAAGGAAGTACCTCTGTCTTCTCTATAACCACCTGTTAGGAAGACTGGGATTAGATCCTCCTGAGCCTTCCTTTCTTGAGGCTAAATAAACCCAGATCCTTTGCATTTTTTCCACATCAAGTTCTCCAACCTTCTAATCATAGAATCCCAGAAGGGTTTGGGTTGAAGGGACCTTTCCAGGCCATGTAGTCCAACCTCCTGCAGTAAGCAGGTACATCTTCAACTAGATCAGGTTGCCCAAAGCCCCATCCAACCTGACCTTGAGCATTTCCAGGGATGGGGCATCTACCACCTCTCTGGGCAACCTGCTCCAGTGTTTCACCACCCTCATTGTAACAAATTTCTTCCTTCTATCTAGCCTGAATCGACCCTCCTTTAGCCATTCCCCCTTGTCCCGCCACTCTCTGCCCTTGTCACCAGTCCCTCTCCAGCTTTCCTGGAGCCCCTTCAGGGACTGGAAGGGGCTCTAAGGTCTCCCCGCAGCCTTCTCTTCTCCAGGCTGAACCACCCCAACTCTCTCAGCCTGTCTCCATAGCAGAGGTGCTCCAGCCCTCTGATCATCTTTGTAACCTTCTCTGGACCCACTCCAACAGGTCCATGTCTTTCCTGTGTTGAGGACCTCAGAGCTGGATTATCTTTGGGGTCCTCTGGTAGACCCTCTCCATTTTTTTAATGTCTCTCTTGAATCAAAGGGACTAGAATCCCAAGTGGGATCCCTTCAGTTGCAATCTGTGTTTGCTGGCTCTCGCCCCTTCTCTGTGCACTGGCTCCTTCTTGCTAAGTCCCCATTAGGCAGCTGGATCATCTTTACCCTCTTTTCTGCAGACTGAGCAAACACGGCTCTTCCTGCTCCCCTACGCACCACGGGCTCCAGCCCATGACCACATTAACAGCCCTCTGTTGGTTACATTCCAGTTTATCAGAATCTGTGAAATTGGCATTATTTTAATTCTAAATAACAGGAGAATTGGAAGTCCACTTCTTCCCTAATCCTTAGCCTACAGTCTCGCACTTAAAGATAACAAATTTCTTATTAACATCATCTGTCGGCCAATCAAAACTGGCATTTTGGTTAACAGCCTGACCTTCAAAATGTCTCAGTTCATTTAACTGTGGGAGTCGGGAGCTCTGAACTTGGACTCCTCAGTAATAAAATTGCCAGGACGTTGTCAAAAATAATCACATCCCATCCACACCAGAAACAAAATGGAACTAATATTAACACACAATTTTTAAAGGAAAAATACGAGCAATAGAGCCCGAGGCACTCTTATTAATCATGACACCTTCCACTGCAAGCAGAAATCACTTTTCTTTGACCTTGCAATCTCTAACTAATAAACATTATAATGTACCTTTGGAAATACCATTTCTTCCTATAGTAAGAGATGCTGAACACAGAACAGTCAAGCGCAACTCAGGAAAGAGATCCCAGAGTTGTCAGGGGCAGTGGCCAGTGGCAGACAAAAAAACCCAACAAAACATCCAGCACCGCCATCAGGGAGGGTACCAAGGGGAGACCAAGGGCAGCTTTTGGCACTGCAGGTGCTGCAGTGGTTCAGGTCACGGGTGGAGATGGATGGAAGAGGCCCACAGCAGCAGGACAGGCCAAACAACAGGGCTTCAGAGCAGAGACTCCCAAGGCCTCTGTGCGAGGGTGAGGAAGAGGAGGGAAAGGCAATATCACATCCCCGAGGAGGCAATGCGGGGAGCGCGGACCTGTCCCTGACCAAATCCCACAACGCGAGACCCAGGGGCGCGCCCCGAAAGCAGGACGTGGGCTTGAGGGAGCTATGAGAACACCCCCCGGGCGGAGCG